GAGCCTCGCCTTCCATAGGTGAAGATAAGCTTGCACGTGCTCTGCGTACCTCCCCCTTTTTCACACTCATTGACAACTTGTCTTTTCCTCTCCATTCGCTTGTTCATTGAGTGCTGTATTCCAATCATTTCCAGGTCTCTGTAGAGCAAGCTGGTAAGTCGTCTCAACAGATGATAAATTTCGCCAAATCAAAAACAAGTCATTTGTCTGCTGATCACATCAGTATGTTCTAGATTTGACGATTATGGGTTCAAAGTTTGAAAGGATTTGCTGTTCAGAGTACTTCAAGAAATGGATCACTTGGATTTACTCGGAGTGGTCCGAAGATAAGGCCAGGAAGGGCAGTTCTTTAGAAGACTTGTGGCAGAAGCCTGTGGAGCAAAGGTTTGATATATGATGAAACGTCTTCTGGAAGGGGTTTTGTCTTTTCCAGGCAATCGGAAGGTTCATGCCTACCAAATCTCCGTTTAGTGAATCATGTGAGAGTTTCTACTGAGGCCTGCTCTTCCTACCTGCTCACTTTTGAAGGGTTCGTTTGAGTCGTCCTGAGCATTCTTTCTGAAAGCCTCAAGTAGGTTCATGCCAAATAATCTCCTTGAAAAGGTTCTACTCAGGAATGTCACGATTGTGGAATCTGTCTTCGCTCCTGGAAATATGTGCACTATTTCAACTTCGACACAACCCGGCATTCTCCTTGCACCTATAGTTGAATCTTCATGTTGGTTCTCCAGAGGGTTCTCTGAAAGCTTCAAGAAAAACGCTGTTGAAGATTTCTATAAAGCTTCTTTTCAGCTAAATTTGTGACGATTCGTAGTGATCGACTGATCAGTCGTGAAGACACCTATCATCTAGACCTTTATCACAGTTTTTCGACTTATCCTACAACTCTTGGTAATCTAGTTCTGCTCATGGCAAACACCGAGACGAGGTACGTCGATCCCTTACTCTTTGTTTTTTTGAGGCAAAAAGTTTTCATTTTGTGAAAAACCCTTGTAGGAACTTCTCATTATTAGTTTACACTTTCCAGCTCCTAATTATTCAATATCGTCTAGGTTTTCGGTACCGCAAGTTGCATTCTGAATTCAGTGCCCGACAGCGTGAACTGATCATCGATCTTGCTCCTCCATCATGTCCGTGTTCTGATGTCTCAACACTTCCTGCTTCTGTTCAGCATCTGCTTTCTGAGATCGCCACATCTGATGGACTGAGCGCAGAGCAGCGAAATGCAGTGCAGGCGGCTATTCTGTGTAACGACTACACTTTGATCGAAGGATTCCCCGGCTCAGGTTCGAGCTGTTTTCCATTGCTAGTTTGCGGTCAATGAGCCCACAGCGGGTTTTCATTCGTAAGGCTTGGTATTGCGCAGAAAAAAACTGAAGAATCTCTGCGGCATTTAGGGAAGACCACCACAATTGTAGCTTTGCTGTGCTGTCTTCTCCAAATGAATCGTACAGTTCTGCTGACTACAAACACTCATTCTGCTCTAGATAATGTTCTAGTTAAGCTGAGAAAAGTAGGTTTGCCTTCACTTGTTCCTTCCTCCTCCTGATTGAACGTGGTGAATATATTCAGTATACAAGCGATTCAAAAATTCTTCGACTTGGCAATCCGTCATC